CCGGAGCCTCGGCGCTGCATTCCCCCTGGGTCCGCCCGGCCGGCAGGGGGCGCCCGCGCGTGCGGCCGCGGCGGAAGCGCGGGTCCCCCGGCGGGCGGGGCGGGCGCTGGCGGCGCCGCTCACGTGGGCGGCCGCTTCCGGGCAGGCGCTCGGCGGGGGCGGAAGCGGGGCCGGCGCTGCCGCGCGCGTGGTTGGTGAGTGAGCGGGCGGCCGCGCGCGGGCGGCGCAGGCGGAGGCGCGTCGGGATCCCGGGCCCGGCGCGGCCCCTCTCCGTCCGTCCCTGCTCGCGGGGCCGCCGCGCTCGCCCGGCCCCTGCGCCAAGGGCCGCCCGCCTTTTGTGCGACCCGCCCTCCACTCACGTCCCTGCGCCAGGGAGGCGGCGGGAAAAGTGGGAGCCGCCGCGGCGCGGGCCGGGTGCCGCTCCTGGGGAAACCGGAGGCATCGGCTCCGCCGCGCGCCGCCGCCCCTGCCCCACCTCCCCCGCCGGCTTCTCCCCGGCGGCTTCTCCCCGCCGCCGCTCCCGCCTTGCCCGGCGCTCCCGGGGCCGAACTTGCGGCCTCCCCGGCGCCGGGCCGGCACTGATGCGCCTTTATTTGAACGCCTCGTAGGGCGACTGGAGAGGTGCCGAGGGACGCGGCGCTCGGGCAGCGAGCCGAAGGATGTCCCGGGACGGCGAGGAAGGCAGCGTGACGGCCTAGACCCGCGGGAGGAGCGGCCGCTCCGGCGCTCGGGTACGGCGTGCGCGGCGCGGCGGCGGGCGGTGCGGTGCAGGTGGCGGCGGCGGGGGATGCGCTGCCGGCGCGGGAGCCGCGCGGAGGTGATCGCCTGTAAGTATCGCTGTGCTGTGCCCGGAGAGAGCTCGCCCGGGGGGAAATCCTTATCAGATCGGAGGAGTCGGTTAGGGCGTGTGCCTTGCCTTCGGGTTTCTCAGGATTTTCCTGACTGAGCAAGGTAATGAGGTTGTCTAAGGATGCCGCTTGGGAGCTGCGAGGGAGTGAAGCCAGAATCATTTAGTTGGAAAAGAGCTCCAAGGTCCCACCTGTAACCGAATATTTTCTGCGAGCCTGAGGTGAGGGTGCCTGGGTGACATCTGAAGTGGTGTCTGAAAAGCGCTGCATGCGGCTTTATGTTTAAGGAAGCCTGCATCGATTGGACGTTGCTTTAATGTTTTCGATTGTAAAACCGTGTCAGCGCTTAACTGTTAGGTGCTCAGTCTTGTTGGAGGAGGGCCCGGTGAAAGTACACAGAATCTCAGGTTAGTTAGGGTTGGAAGGGACCTCTGGAGATCATTTAGTCCAGTCTGCCTGCCAAGGCACTATAACCTAGAGCAGGTGACACAGGAATGCATCCAGGTGGGTTGGATTTTCTCCAGAGACCTTATTGGGCAGCCTGTTCCTCTGCTCTTATACCCCTAAAGTAAATAATTTCTTCTTCATGTTGAGGTGGAATTTCATGGGTTTTAGTGTACAGCCATTGCTCCTCGTCCTGTTGCTGGGCACCACTGAAAACACTCTGGCACCATCCTCTTGGCACCCATCTTGGAGAAATTTAAATGCAATAATGAAATTCCCTCTCCGTCTTCTGCAGACTAAACAGGCCCAGCTCCCACAGTCTCTCCTCGTAAAATGCAGTTTGTGTCGAAGGCAGTTGTTTCTGCAAGAAGTTTCATTGAAATGGTTACATACTTTTATCAGCTGTATACAGTTTTACCTGATGTCTTATTATGTAGCCACTGTGGTGTTTGACCTTGGCTTTGGTTTTGTAAGGATTTTATCTTCTGGTGTAGCATGGTACATATGCGTTGGAAATGGGTAGGCTTAGATTACCATTTATTCCCAGAATATTTTTTGTGAGGTATCTTTTGTGCTGCTTTTAGTAGGAGAAAGGATATTTTGCAAGCCTCCTCCTTTAAAAGAACTTAATTGACCTTGTTCAGTTTTGTGCACACCTGTATTGTGAAGTTTTTATGCTGATTGGAAGCCAGACATCTACTCTTGTAAAAGCAAGCCTTGTAAGTGGAAATAACTTCTACATCAAAAGCTTCTAGCTATTTCTATATATCATGTAGTGAAATTCTTCTAGTTCTTTCCTAAAAAGATGCATATGGTAAAAATCAAACATTTATAAAGCCATGGTTGTTACAGTTGGACACTAAAGGACCTTTTTCTTTTGGCACCAGGCTCCAAGTTTTTTGAAAGCCTTTGGAGTTGATAGATTACTTACACCAAATTTGTACTTCAGTTAAAGTGGTCTTGCATATAATTTTTTAAGATAATATGTGAAAAACAGAAATTAAATTTTAGTCAAATGTTGATGTAATCAGTTGTTTATGTTGTTTTAAAATAATAGAAAATGACAGCTTGTTTTAAAACATTATTTAATGATTATTCTGTTGATGTGTATATGAAATACTCTAGTGCAGCACAAATTTCAGCTTGAAATCCATTGGGAAAATCTGCTCTAGGAATGATGATCACATCCACCAGAAGGGAATCATTGTTTGAATATGTTGTTTAGAAATTTCTGTGTTTAGTCAGTTGTATTGTTGGGAGTTTTGGCTTGGGTTTTTCTTGATTCAGTTTTTTTTTGTTGGTTTTTTTTTTTTTTTTTTTTGTGGGGAAAGTGGATGGTGGTTTGTTTGGGGTTTTTTGAGAGGATTAAATAAAGCAATCTGTGGTGTAGTGTTTGTTGGGGCTTTGTCAGTGTGTTTGTTTTTTTGTTTTTTTTTTTTTAACCTGATAGAAGTAAGAGTACTTCAGTATCGAAACAGCTAGAACAAAACCAAAAAGCTATTTAGAAACTTATGACAGTTTTAGTTTGGTTATTGTGCCTCTATTCCAGTATGTTTGTACAGCTTACAAGTATAATGGCTCAGATATCTCATTTCTTAGGCCTTATTAAAAATATCTTTGTTTTTCTTTTTTTTTTTTTAGTCTGTAGTTACTCATTTGACCTCTTCTTTTCCCCTACTTCTAGTTATATTAAAATGCTCAGACTGGTATTTTCACTGTAAGTTTTCCTAGGTTTTTTGTGTCCTTTTGTGGTGAAGGCCTGTTTAAACCTACGACTGTACATGTGCAGGCTGTGTGCTGTTAGCGATGGACTTGGTAAGCTGCGGACAATTGAAAGGGAACGGTTCGCTGAGCTCCTTGGCTTGACTAGAATTGAGTATGTAAAAAGTTACTCTGTTGGCAGGAACTTTTTAAAACAAAACCAGATCATCAACTTAACTCTCGATAAAGCAGTGGCAGATGCAGATATCTGGATGCTTTTTAATAAAGTAGTTCTCAGAGCTGAGACGGCCAAAGGAGCAGCAGCAGAATGTTTTCTGGACACTGGAAGAACAGCTGCATGGAATCAGTCTGCATGTCTGTTTAGTCTAGCATCTTGTCTCAGGAGTGGACACTCATTTATGCACAGACAAAAGCATGAAAACAGTAGCTATTGTTAGGAGGCTGCTGCTCTCTGGTGGAAAAACTACTTTTGTTGTGGTTTTAATCAAATTAAATTCTCTTTGCAGAGAATCAGAATGACTAAAAAAAGAAAACGTCAGGAGGATTTCCAGAAAGTGAAATTAAAAGTTGGGAAAAAAAAGCCTAAACTAGAGAATGCAACTGATACTACCTTCAAAACAAAGGCCATACAAATTCCTGAGCAGCTTAAAGAAGATGGAGTGCTTCCTACACAAAATAGAAAACTTAACATAAAGGTATACTGTGATATTACATTCTGAAATGACAGAAAATTGCTTGTGTTTTATCTAGGTTGACTATGTTTACTGCAATTTGGGAAAAAACAATTTATTAAAAAAAAATAAATAGAGCAGCCTATATGAATGCAGCCCCGTTTTTAAAGAATCTTGTATTTCTCTGCAGGGTGGATTTGTTTTCCTTTGTGTCTTCTGTCTCTTGCAGCTTTCTGCTTAAATGGAGGAAAGCTATTCAGGCTGAGGTTTTGTAGTTCTGCTTTTGAGAACAAGAGTGAGAGGACTTTCCTTTGGTCATCCCCCTGTTGAGTCAGTAGGGTTGTGTGTAAACTTAAGGATGAGACCTAAGGACAAGTCATTATATCTTGTTTTCCATGTCACTGAATTCTAATTATTTGTTTAGTGTTGTGCTATAAAATGCATACCATGTTCATTCTAAACACATTTTGCTATTGTGAACAGCAGTACATCCTAAGAATATTCTGTATTTTTTAGTGTTTAGGAAAAATATGCAGAAAATACATGGGGGAAGTTTGAACAGCTTAAAATAGTAATGATGACAAGTGTATATGTTTGTTTCCTTCTAGGATCTGCTCTCACAGATGCATCACTATAGTCCTGGGGTTAAGCATAATGCACTTCTTGGACTCAAAGAGCTCCTGTCCCAGTATCCCTTTGTAATTGATGCACACCTTTCCAGTATAATAAGTGAGGTGGCAGCGGTGTTTACAGACAAAGATTCCAGTGTCAGAGGAGCAGCTGTTCACCTGCTGCAGTTCTTGGCTTCAAAAATAAGAGCGGAACAGATTGCTCCATTTTTTCCTTTGGTAAGTGCCCATCTCTCTAGTGCCATGACTCATATCAGTGAGGGAATTCAGGAAGATTCATTGAAAGTCTTGGACGTTTTATTGGAAGCATACCCAGCTCTTCTTACAGACCGCAGCATGATATTGTTGAAGAATTTTGTTGAGCTTATTTCTCACCAGCAACTCTCAAAAAGACTGAAAAGCAGGGACAAACTTTCCTGGATGCTCTCTGTTAACCCAAATCGCAGAGTAACTTCTCAGCAGTGGAGGCTAAATGTACTTACCAGGCTCAAGAAGTTTCTGCAAGCAGTGGTAGATGGATCCAGTGATACAGAGGATGAAGGGCTTCAAGAGCAGAAGGACAACTCTCATTCTGTGAGGCACCCAATATGTATTAGTTGGAAGCTCCATGCAAATAATCAGCAACATATACAGCTGGCTGGTAGCTTACGACCAAAGATCAACTCAACATTTAGACTGAGGTGAGAAAATGTTGACTAGTTTGGGAATTAATTTCGACTGTGTGATTGCAATTTAATTTTTTTAGTGGGGTTGTCCCTTAGCCATATTTTAGGACACTTTGTGTAATGTGTAGTCTTACTGCAGGGGCTTAAAAATACAGCAGATAACTGTATTATGTGTATATCATGAACCTTTCCATTATCAAGTCTTTATTTTATGCTATTAATGATAATTTTGGATTACCAGCTCTGTTGGGATATTTTTGGAATGCAAACTGACAGCTTCTTGCAGGATGTCTAAAAGACCTAGGGGAAGTAGGCAAATTTCTTTATGTGAAACGTAAGCTTGTTTGTGATAATGAACTTTACTGAAATTTTGTGCTTTTACCTTCAAGAGTCTATCATAAGCTTAGGAGTCTGTTATTTTTGACTGTAGCTCCTTTTAAAAAGGACAGCAGGTCCTTTTTAAAGCGGCAGTGTCTGGTGGTATGAAGTTCTGCTGAGTTTCCAATTCTAGATATTTTAATCACTTCACCAGTTTATATACTCACTGTGGATGAAAGATGTCTTGGCTGAGACATGCTGATGAATATGAAAGAAAGTGTAGTGTGCTTAGTCACAGAAGGGTTTGTGTGGGTTTTCAGTAGTACTCTAAACAGATGTGAGCTGAAGTTAAGGGAGAAATAAACAACTGTTTTGATTTCTCTTCCTCCTCTCTGATTCACCCACTAGAGGTGAACCTCCCACCTCACTTTATGGTTCTTTTTGAACACTGCCATCCTCACATGCATTACTATGGATGCTACATACCTGCTGGCAGGAGACCTGGAATGGTGACTTAAAAAATTGAAGCAGTTTAGCTGTTACACAGCTCTGTTCCCGGTAGATACCAAGGTGGTTTGAAGAAAAACCACAATACTTGTTTTACTGCTGAGAAGACAAAGTAAGAGGTATAAAGCAGTTATACCAAATTCATCTAGGAAGTCAGTGGCAAAAAGGGGTATAAAACCCACTGCCTACTCCATTACTATGTTTGTCTTACATCTTTGAAGGAATGAAGGACAGAAGAAGAGGTGTTCTTGCTGAAAACCACAGGTTGGCCTGAATTGGCAGGTGTTTTCCATCTCTGTCAGGGAGAGACAGCCATTCCTCCTCTCCTAGGCTTTCTCTTTGGAGGTAGCATATTACTTTTGGTATGTATAGGAAACATATTAGGCTAAGTAAGAAGGTCAGCTAATTCTCCTAAAAGTGGTTGTCAGCATAAGTATTCAGTCATGACCAGAAGTATCTGCTGCAGGTAAAATTTTAGCTGGCAACTAGGCTGGTGATGCCCCCTTGAGGCAGGGGAAGGGTTCAGTGCTGAGCACAGAACAGTTCTACTGAGTTCATCTTTGCAGTCAGAAGCACTCAGTTGTGGACCACTGTGTATCAGAGGATGCTTGAATTGTGCCCTGGGTGATATGCAGTGTATGATGTACCAGGCCGTGTAATAGCTGAAGATGCATTGTATCCAAGGTCTAGGAAAATAAACTTTACATCTGGTGTCACCTGAATTGGATTCCGCTTTTCTGAGGAGCTAGATTTTGGTGGAATGTCGTGATGTGCTTCTGGTTATAAATACTTACAAAAAGATGTTCGCAAACATGAGGAGGAGCCAGAAGAATAGAAGGAAACATGGCTAGAATCCAAGGCGAGATTGGCAAAGCAAGCTGATGGCAGCAGAAGAGAAGAATAGAAAGGGAAGGATCATCTGCTGAAGGTACTAAAATGTTCTCATTTTATTGCATTTGTGCATATTTTTGGTGTATTTGTTTTTCACAAGGGTACAGCTTGTTTTAGTGACTATGTGTGAAGTTTCCAATAGTGAAGAGTTGCGGTGGTGGTTTTTGTATTGGCCACTGAAAGAATTTCTAATAATCTAAAGGTGTTTAATTCTGTCACTTGGAATCCCAGTTGTTGCCTTTTACGGGCATTCCCAGACCTCTGCTATGGCCACTACTGCAAGGACAGAAATTAGTTGTGATAAGAGGTACAATACTCAGTGTGTGAGTGTTTAAAGTCAAATAGTCAAGTCTGTGACTAGCTAAGGATAATGAGTTGACCAAACCATAACTAATTTGCAGTGTGTGTGTATTGATGGTCTTCTCACTAATACTGCAAGTAAGTTTCAACTTTGTTGAAAATAGTTCCTATATCTATTTAATCTTGCGAGCTCATTGGACAGGGCTGACATGTCACTGATAACCTAGTGATTATGGATTGAGATTTTCTGAATCAGTTTGCAGCATTACTGTTTAGTAAAAAGGATAGATTCTGTGCTTGGAATGCTGGATGATTGAATGATGTAACTCTTAAGAGTTCATTATCTTCTGTTGTGTGCTAGATCTTCCTACTGTGTGTAAATTAAAAATTGTGGTATATTAGGAAATTGTTCAAATATGTTCTCTGCATTATGTGCTGACTGTGCTGCTTTTTGCATCAAACTCATTTCAGGTGTGGAAAACCAGCCTTCACAACTCAAATGTGGTGGTACCAAGGCGTGTGTTTTTGGTTGGGTTTTTTTTTGTGACTGGAAGAGAAACAGTTGAGCTTCAGATTCTGCTGAGAGAGGACAATATGAAGCTGCAGAGAAAAGAAAAAATGACTTGAGAAACTGAAATGGAAGATGAAGCATAGCCAATAAATATGTACATGTACATCAAAGAGAAATGGAAAATGCAGTTCACTCGGTGTGCTGTGTGTTTGCTGCATTTGGCAGTGCACACAGAAAAGGAGGACAAGTAACCTGGCTTAAACTGCAAGTCATAAAAACTTAACTTCCAAAGACTTTCCCTGTTTTAAAGAACAGCAAGTTGTTTTTATTTTCTATTTCTTTTACGCTTCCTTAACTTCCCTTTGCTGAATTTCTATTGTCTTCTCACTGTCAAAAGGCAGATATTTACACAATTTTTGTTTGGTCATGCTGTATAAAAATACTGGCATTTTAAAGAAAAATGGCAGCTTAGGGGGTACACAAATATCTTGCAGCTCCTTTCAATAGGCTTTCATTCTGGTATAAAGGTAATATGCTTTGCTATGTTTCCAAGAGTCCCCTACCACTCAAGAGTAGTGATAACAGATATGTGACAGTGCAATTGGCATCAAACCTGCCCAGGTCGAGTGAACCTGTATTGTTAAGTATACTGTACTAATCAAATAAATGCTGGACAGATTGCTTTAATATTTTGTCATCATCTGTTACTGGCACTTCAATTTTATTTTACACTTTTATTGTTAACCTTGAATATGTGGAGGAATCTTATCTTGAGAATCAGGGGTTTCTTCTGCAGGGGTACATGAAAGCTATGCTAAGTATTCTTACCCCAATGCTTTCAGCAGCTGGGAGGAGTATCCCTTTTGGCATGAATTCTTTCTTTTTCCATTCCTTGTTTCAGAAAAGTACTGAAATATTTGTGTGTGTTATGCTTCCAGTATGGATTACCAGCTTCTCAGGTTTCATGCACTATTCACTTTTTAACTGGGTGATTTCTGGGTTCATTAAATAAATTTCTGGAATCCCAGAGTTCTGCTGTAATATCAGGTATTTTTTAGCAAAGAAATTACTGAAGACTACTATTTCAGAACTATTTCACCAATTACTGAAATTTCAGACTCTCATCTGAGAGCATAATCCTGTCACAGCATAGCATTTACAGGCCAATCTCACTTTCAATGAGATTATCGTGTTGGTATCAACAGGCTTTAGAATTCATTGTGATTGAAACTGAAAGATGGGATTTGTCTGCTGTATTTGAGATGACTGAGAGTTAAAAAGTCTGAGATAGAACCATTCATCCTAAACTTTCTAGTCTGAAAGAAGCCAGTGTCTACTGCAATACCTGCACTACAGAAATGAAATAAGGCAAAACCGACAAATAAACTGAATTATATTTATTGGATATGTTAGTTAAAGCTAAGCTTTATAAAATTTAACATGTTTGATAATTATAGCAAGTAAAAGTAAAGCAAAATTTTTTTCTTATGATCAGTTATGTTTCTACTTATCCTTTTTATTTTGGGCTGGAGATCTAAATTCTCTCCCCCATCTTGCCTTCATTGAAAAATAGCTTGTGTTCATCTCACACTTCATTTTTTTAATCCCTGTTCCTTTTATACTTCATTAATACCTGGGTTTGTTTTGGTTTTAGTAATTTTCTTGATACACTGATACCAACTAGAAAGAAACTGCAAAATAACATTTTCTTTTGTTATTTGTATTATAGATGATGGCAACAACATGTAGCTTCATAGAAGGTTATATAGCTAATTGGATAATTTAGAAGTGACTAGGGAAAATTGCTTTACATCTTCAATATGAAATTAAAGTATTAGTAAACAAAACTTCGGCAGGTCTGTGGAAAGTTTTTCAGTTCCTGTTTTGAGTGTATATGTAAAGAAAAATGACTTGGAGATCACCACTGAAATAGACGGGAGTTTAGCAGGAGGTTCAGTGTGCTAATCTTATGTGTGTTAGAAAATTAGAATTACGATACAAATTCCCTGCTATTAATTAGGAAACAAAATTATAATGTAAAACAATTTTACAAATGATCAGTTCAAACTGTTGTTGCCTTTTTTTAAGGAATCTGTACTCCTTAAAATTAACAGGATTTATTCAGGGTTTTAGTTCTTTTGAAGAATCTTCTTTTTAAATTGGATACAAATTGATTGAATTTATCAAGTAGCAGGGTTGGGTCATATCTGCTGATAATCCTTTCAGAGACATAAAGTGTTTTTGAGTGGGGAGAGAAAAAGAATTGGTTTTCTTGATTTCTGGCAGATATGATATTAATTTAAACTGCGTCTTAGTTTTTTAATTTTTAAAATTTCATGGTCAGTTTTCTGTTTAGTTGCTTTTCTGAATATAATAGCTAGACATGGGGTGAGAACCAAAAGTATATTTTTACAGGAACATTTTTTTCTACATTTAATATGAAAAACATTGTGTTTGTTATAGTTGGAGATCGTTATTAACTGTAATAAACATCATGCATTTAATAACACCTTGTAGTCAGCTTCGTTATTTTGCTTTAATGAGCTTAAAAGAGGTTTTTTTATTATTTTGTTGTGCTGAATATATTTAATTCCTTCCTGTTGGTTGAAGGTGATAGGATAATGCATATTGCATTTCTCCATTTCATAGATTTTACATGTAACAATGGGGAAAGAAATACTGAAATCTAAGAAGTTATTAAAAAAAGCACACAAACTTGCAGGGAAACTTGGGAGCAGGTTTGTTGTAGATGGTTTGAGCTCCCTTTTTTTTCCTTACTGAAATATCTAGCAAAAAAGCCAGCAAATATTTAATGCATTAAAAAAGTAATTTTCCAATTATTCAGAAAACAGGAAAGTGGTGTTACTGTAATCTTCTTTTGAAAGGTGTGATCTTTATCTTTTTATGCTTCTTTGCTTTTGTTGTTTAGGTCTCTGACAAGTGTAATGGACAGTGCAGAAAAAGGCCTGTCCTCGGCTGAAAACTTAAAAAGTTTTATTGAGATAATAATTCCATTACTGATTGAGTGCTGGATAGAAGCATCTCCTGCACAATCAGCTCCTATTCTTGGAAACCTTTTGGAATCAGAATCTCAGCAGCTTATGCAGCAAGTTCTTAGCATAATACATTTATTGTGGAAACTCACAAAGCGACATGATGAAACATACAAAATGGTAAGGGAGAAATGATCCTGGCATAATGATGACAGTTCATTTTGTTTTGATAAGAAACTAGTGGTTTGGTGATTTGAAGTACTGAAGATACTTTGTTAAGAGAGAAAAAGCCTAGGTGTTGAGTAGATTTTGAATCTGGATTTTGTTGCCTCTTACTGTAGAAAAAAATCGTTGAACTGAGCCATGAGTTCAGTAAATAGTCTCCAGGAATCCTCCTTGACTGCAGCGCAAATGTTTTGAATCTGGAAGTGGTAATAGAGAAGAGCATTTTGTCTCCCAGATAACCTTGAGAATATAAATTGGAACAAATTTATATTTGTGCAATCTGTGTTGCTGTGTTGTGATTGGTAGGGTTGTAAGACATTGAAACAAAAAGGATTTTAGTCAGTATCCTCAGATTTTTTTTTTTGTCCCAGTTATTTTCTCTGTATTTTACTTATATAACTGAATTGCTTTTTTTGGTAACTTTTGCTGCTTTTCCAAAAATTTTGCAAGTTGGAGAATTTGGCTATTGAGTAGTTGGAAGGAATGTTTTGAGAGCTCTTGGTTTAACCTGTGTATAGGACTGTAGGGCCCTTTGCTAAAGGAAAAGCTACACATAGGATAATGACTGGAAAACATTTGTGGAATCATGACGTTAGACCAAAGTTACCAAACATACCTAGCCATGAGGGATGGATTCAGTGTGTCTGACCAAAGCACGCTGTTCCTGTTTTTTCTTCTTCATCTTTTCTAGAGGCCCTCTTGGAAGTGGGGAAAAAGCAGGCACTTGACCTGGTAAATTCCTGTGGCAGCCTAGTGTCCCTAGCCCTTTTCTGTAGGATCCTGGAGAGCTGCCGCCCTTAGCCATAGGGTGCCTGTATTTTGGTCACATGAATGGCACGCTCCTCTGTCAAGATATGAACTGCTTTGAGTACAAAAAAAAATCTGCGGTTCATACAACTTGTTTTTTTTTGTTTTTGGAGCAAAGTTTGGTTTTTGGAACAAATTCTATTTCAGATTAATGGTTTATTTTGTCTTTATGGTTACCTTTATATACAAAATGCATTCAAATGGCTCAGTTTGAAAATTAAACGTTTGCTTATTTAATAGCCCTTGGGCTTATAGGCCAAAGTGGTTATTACAGTCACTGTGGAAAACCACTCTGAATATGCTTGACAGAAAGATATTGATCTTTGAAATAGTTTAATGGCCATTCTCTGCTCTTAATAGTTGAATATCAAAAGATTATTCTGCCTGATCAATTTGATAGCAATGCAGGCTTTTTTAGTAGCGAGTTCTGCTGTTCACTTTGGAATGGTGACTATCTGCTAGCATGCAAAACAAAATTACTTTAAAATACTGAATCATTTTTCTGTAAGGGTGGCCTCTGCTGGAAAACGTTTTGTCAGTGGGTTTTCAGTCATAAGGATATTAATGACAGGGAAAGGTGAAAGAAGTATCAGAATGTGTTTTAATGGAAAACTCAGGACACTTGTTGCAAGTTAAACAGAGTCCCCTCTGATTTTAAGAACCCTGATAAATTGATAGCAAAGTACTTTCATTCAGATCTGTAATTCAGATTAGTATTGCATGTATCCACATAAATATGTGCTAAAAATTAAGTGGTTCAGTTAGCAACATGTTGCTCAGCCTTAACTTACAGCGACTTGTTACAGTCCCTTGTTTTGTGGACCTTCATGCACAGCACTTGAAAGTAAAGATGTATAAACCACTTGGAATGAGAAGCTAAGGTTCCTAGTTTCATTGATTCCAATAATGAATTTTGGAGCATAATTGTCTGGTTTTATTTAACTTGCTACCATGTTTTCTGTCTATCATCTGCTTTCCTTAACAGGAGCTATGGCTTCGAATGAATTACCTTGTTGATTTCAAGCACCACTTCATGCGTCATTTTCCTTACTCTCTACAAGATTCAGTAAAACACAAAAAGAAAGATCCATGCAAAAGGTAAGAGTTAAATTAATGTCATGTAGCAGCTTTTAATTTCATAAGAGAAGTGGGACAAATGTGATTCACATGCTTTACCAAATATTAAGTTTTTAATGGTGGAAAATAAAACTTTTTATTACATATTTCTGTGGAGATGCAGTTGTAGGAAGGTTCAAATTGAGAAGTTTTAGTTGTTCTTTGTAAAAGTATTGTATAGGAAGTTGTCTGAATAGCATCCAGTAGAAAATTAAGTGCTGCCTTAGGGAAATGAAAGTATTTTATTCAACTCTTGATCTGGAATTTGCATATTGCTAAATGGTAATTGTTTTAGGCTGACTGGTTTCATATTTCTGCAGGTTTTCTTCAGCTGACTGCTGAATTACATTAAACATAATTCAAACATTCTTTTCACTTCCATATAGTTTTCTCTAGTTGTATTATGGGGTTGGGTGAGGACAGCTAGTAGGGAAGATGGGCAGGGCACACTATGGCTGTCCTGTAGGGCAAAGCAGTACTGGTGCAGAAGCCAAACACATTTCTTTACTATTGAGCTATCAGAACAGATGCACCAATTCTGTTTTGCTACAGGCCAGTAGTGATTTGTCTCCTGTCTCAGCACCCAGATGTGAGACTAAATTCATGCTAACGTTGTTCTGAAATTGTTCTGCCCCTTTGCAGTCTATGTAGAACACTGGTGTATGTACTAGGTGTATCAGCTGGTGTCCATTTTATTTCAAAAATAATTTTTTTAAATCTTTCTGTTCTCCCCTTAGCAACAGGAACTGTATGAAATCCTCAAACAACATAGACCATCTTTTACTGAATTTAACCTTGTGTGACATAATGGTTTCGTTAGCAAGTGCTTCAACGCTTCAGACGGACTCTAGTTGGCTGGACATGATAAGGAAATTTGTGACAGACACTCTTCAGGATGGCAGCAAGTTGAATAGCAAGCAAGTGAACAGATTGCTTGGGGTGACTTGGAGACTAATGCAAATACAGCAAAACAAGGGTAAGATGAGTAGTTTCTGGGAAGCAAAATTATGCAGTGACAAAGCTTTGAATTGTTTTAGCATTTTAATGCTGCACTTTACATTCTCAGTTGTTACATCAAAATGTATTTTGTCATAGAGGTAAAACGAATATCATGGTAACATCCCTGCATGTAGCATTGGAGACTTTATTTTTGGAATGCTGTTAGATTCATACTGTTGATATGCAAAGTATGAATATATTTCTACCTGTTTACTGATTTTGCTTCTTAAGATACTCTTATAAGGGGAAGATTAGCTTTATATTGAAGAAGTAACCACTAGGCTGTAGAGAGGCTGTAGAGACTGGTATATTAAGGACTTAATATACCAGTCCTTATTTAAAGTCATTAACATAGCTGATAAACTCTCTCGAGTACTGTCAGGTGACCATTTTAGTTCTGTGATGATGTGAAATGCCAAGATACTTTTGTTGGAAGCTGGTGTTGAATATTTTCCAAGGTGATTGATTGGAATCCTTTTCCAAGAGAAAACATTTCCAGTTATGACTTGCAGGACCAGTCCAATTTTCATTCGTTTCAAGTACTACTTGGTTGTATTCCAAATGAGACCTTGGATATAGAACTTCAAGAAATAACTTTATCAGTAACCAGAAAAGTGACAGCAGTCTTTTATGTTTTACCAGTGTGATAGAAATGAATTCCACATCCAAGTAGTTAATAAAAGAGTCCTTAGACACAATTGTTAGAGTTGTAAAATGAAAATATGTCAAATGTCCCTCAAATACATTTTGGCAGTTAGTTATATTTCCTGCCAAATCTATTTTAATTGGAAATCTGTCTATTCCCATGTCCCCAGTGACAAAGGTAATAAGTACTCTTTCCTGTCAGAGCTTCAAATTTAGCTTTGTGTTGAAAATAATAATCCAGAGTCAGAGCCTGTTGCACTACCTGAGCTAAAGCAGAGGAGTTGCTACTCAGGAAAGTAGGTTCCAAGCAGTTGTTAGACTGTTAGATCAGATATTTCAGGCCTTTCTTTGTAATTAAATATTGAAATTTTTTTTAACTTTGCAAAATTCTACCAAGTAGTGGATAATTTAATAATTTTCTGCTGATCCTGTAGAAGGTCAGTGTGAAATTAGTTATCTCACAAAGCTGTGTCTGTTTGTGTGGATGGTTTACCTCACCCCTTCAAGATAATCCTTGTGCAGTACTAAAAACCTGACTAGATGTCAGATTGTAATTAATCTACCATCTGTAGAGGAGATGCAGCCTTTACATACTGGAGCAACAGGAGGCTGGTTCAACTAGGAGAATCGCAAAGTCCTGCATCTGGAGGGGAGCAAGTCCATGCAGCTATACATGCTGGGGGACAGCCAGGTGGAAGCAGCTTGGCAGTGAAGGACCAGGGTC